CAGACATACCGCTATGACATTGGGGGCTAAACTGAAGAAAGTTGTTGCTTAAACTCCCCCCACCTTACCAGTAGTGGTTACTTATTACGTGTTTGATGAGTTAGTTGATAAACTATATAAAGATATTTTGAGTCCCAGTTAATGCTATACACTACAAGATAATATCACAAAAACTTACATTGGTTGTCAACTGCGTGGTTAAATTAGCCACTTTCTCATTAGCTCGTTTCAATTCTCTCTTCAACTTCTTAATCTCATAGGTGTGTTTCTCTTCCGTCTAGGGATTAAAGTTCATGGCTGATTAATATGATTTAAAAGTTATCGAACACATATTATATGAAGGCTAACATATATTCTGAGCTATAAACGTACACTTATACGAACTTTAAGAATTGAATCGACAAGCTTTAGCTGCTTTCAAGTGAGTTTTGATTCATCCATATTATAAAGCTGATTAATCATATCTTGTAACATATAACATAATTATGATTCTATCAACGGTTCTACTGGTTGAGTAATCAAAGGTTTATTACAGAACAGTTAATTAATATTCATTGGGAAAGTGTAAGAAAATCAACTGTGGACTAATTTACATCATTTTCTACAGAACTTCTGATGACGTTAATAATATCAGTTCTATTTATTTTAAAATACGCCAAATAAAATACAATTATCCGAAATATTAACTCTTTCGCTGTTACATGTATAAATAAATAACGTTCCCAGTGTCATAATAAATCATTTTTTATTAGTATCTGTTGAGTAAATGTCGGTTTTCTTAACTTTATTGCCAAAATGTCCAACTCCTTCCATTATGTACTAAAAGTTGGAAAAACAAAATATATCTCAGTGTCAGTTTATTTTTTAAACACGCACAGAAATACGCGTGTTGTTGTAGAATTACTTGTATCTTGTTTATTACTTGCCATACCACATGAAATGCTTTATAAAGAGTTACTTGGCATTTCACAGATGATTATATTCTCAGATTGTAGATTAATATAAACTACTTATAATTTCGTCATTTACTTATAAAATTATTGATTTTATTTCACATCTGCTTCACAGAACATTTATTTAATATCATTGTATTGAAGGCTAAATAAGCTGACGTACCAATTCAACGTACGGAGACGACAAAGGGGAGGAGGGGGGCAGATCTGGATTCTGAGATCCTCTTATGAGACTCTAGGACCATGCGGGGGTACATACAAATTTTCAGCTTTGCATTTTGCGGTTTTTATGGGCGTTTTTGCGTATTTTACTACTACCTCGCCCCCTGTTGCTGAATCGTTGATGAAACTTGCGGTTTCACATTTTGTTTTGCAGTTTTTATGGCTGTTTTTTATTTAAATTACATATAAGGGAAGCAACTTTTCATGTCCTAAAATAACTTTTAATTAATCATCAATTTACATAACTTCCATCCAGGGGACGGGTACTCCAGCTAGTCTATTTAAACATAATAATAGCACTGTCTGTTGTATGTCCATGTAACTACTTCGCAGGGTGTGGTTGGATCTTCACCAAAATTGGTATGTAGGTTCATTAGGTCCATGCAAGGGTACACACACATTTTTAAGTTTTGCATTTTGCGTTTTTTTACCACTGCCTCACCTCCTGTGGATGAATCTTCACCAAATTTGGTATGGAGGTTCACTGGTTTCATGGGAAGATAGGTACAAATTTTCATTTTTGCATCTTGCGTTTTTATGGGCGTTTTTACATATTTTACCACTACTTCGTCCCGTGTTGATGGATCTTCATCAAATTTGGTATGAACGTTCATTATGTCCATTCGGGGTACATACAAATTTTCAGTTTTACATTTTGCGGTTTTTATGAGCGTTTTTTCTACAACTTCTTCGCCCCCAGTTGGGTCTATGCGGAGATACATGCATATTTGAGTTTCGCATTTTGTGTTTTCGAAGTTGTCGATTTATATTCTACATTAGCTGGAGTACTCGTTCCATGGACAGAAGTTATGTAAACTCATGATTAAGGAAAGGTTATCTTAGGACATGAAAAGTTGCTTTCTTTATAATTGCTTATAATTTCTTTGCAATTGTAAAAAAACACCCATAATATTATAAACATAAGGAAAATACAATTATAGGTATTATGTAGAGAAAAAATAAAGGAACATTTCATACTTCAAATAATGCATTGTAAAATTAAAGGTTTAATTTTACATCGAAAACACATAGATACTGCGTTTGTGCAAGTTTATAAATGTTGTCTTTGATTTTAAATTACAAAGTACGTTTAGTAGTTTGGCTAGCTGAGAGAGTGATTGTTAAATCGAGGACTTAACAAGAGTTTAGGTTTTATTCTGTACAACGGTTTTTTGAAAACCTGTTGTTATAAAACTGTTATTGTTTCACTATTTTTTTAAAAAAAGAAACTACGCATAAAAGTGTTATAATTCATATTATCATTTTCGCCAACAAGTTTTGTAACAATAGGTTAAAAAAACACACATAAAAGTGTTAGAACTCATATTATTGGTGGAAATGATTATATTTAAATATTTGTTCGCTTGTATCTAATTTTTTCTTCAAAATATGTGTGTGAGGTTAAGGAATTTTATTATAAAGTTATATTTTTCAAATAAAACCTTATATTGAAAAAAATAAACCTATCGATTAAAAAAGTTGTAGTAAAAGTGGTATTTTTGCATTTTTATCCTTTAAGATATTCTAGTGATTGTGTGTTTGATCAACTGAAATTTCTGTTTTTCAAGTTGATAAAAAACAAAATTGAAGGAGGAGATACGAATGATGCAAAACTTTCTTCAAACTAAATTTGTGTCCGTTTATTTGCATCTTTGAGCCCCTATAGTCTCCGATGGGACAGCGGTAAGTCTACGGACTTACAGCGCTAAAATCCGGAGTTAGATTCCCTGCGGTGGACACAGTAGATGGCTTTGCTTTAAAAACAAACAAACCCTATAATAGTTGGCCTATAAAGATATGGGATAAGCGTAATCAGGTTTAATGTCTGTGACGTTGAATTTTTAGTGTCAATGAAAACTGAAATGAATTTTTTCTATAGAAGACGGCCGGATTTTTCGTCTGATTTATATGGATATAACGTCAGAAAAATGTGTGTGTATTTTATAGAGATGCGTGTGTTGCCGTTGTGGTGTCAGAATAAAAATCCATTAACAGCTGTCGTGTCTACGGACTAACAAGACAAGTCGAACCTGCGAAATTCTGCAAAGATAAATTGGTTTTTATTCACTTTATTTTGGGAGGGGGGGGGGGCGTTAGGTATGATAAACATTTCTGACGCTGATTTTATACCTCAGAGTGAAATGTCGAGAAAAAGAAAAACAATTTTGTATGCCAATCACAAGCAGCAAATCGTATGCAACAAAAGTAACAGTGAGACTCCACAAAAAAACCAAAAATGTCGTTTATCCAGAGGCATTGCAATGACTGTTAATGGGAGGGGTTGTGTGTGAACTATGCAATAAATCTAAGGTTTCATTTATTTTCTTTAATTTTTACACTCTTAAGCCATTTATCTCACATAAATATGACCAGTTGACATGTATTGTTACATGAAAAGCGAAATTTTGATCCTTTCAGTTTAAAAATAGCTAAACATCGGCCCTCTGTTTGGGTAATACCCGGGCAACGTCGGGTTAGGACAACTAGTAATAATAATAATAAAAGAACAGTATGGAGCTTCGTATTACCGTGTTGCTAGAGAACGTCCTCTAGCAGCGAACATATATTGACCTATTAATAAGATAATTTGGTCGGTTGCACACCACACCCATATATATATATATATAAATATATAAGAAAAGTTTTCTTCTTGGATGTAAGCGTTTTGTTTAAATATGGCAATAATTACTTGTAATTGTTAAAAAAACACACAGTTGCACAGAACAATGGCATTAAATTATTTCAAACTCTTCAACAATACCGTTCATTAGTTTAGAATTAGTAACAATTATTTGAATTTTTCATATCACTTACCGTCAAATACAACGAGGAGGTTGTTGACGTAAGCGATAAAGAGGAACTGTGCACTACAAGAAAAAGACATTAGTTCACAGAAATTATGCGAACGTTAATATTAGTAACTTAAGCTCCAACATAAATGAAATGAGATTTGCTGACAATTTCTCCACAGTTATAAAATAAAACAGTATGTTGTATTAACAGGAGGAAAGTTCTTACAAAAATGAAACTCGATCTCAATTTTTTTTTATCAATCAAACTATTACATGGTAAAGGTTTAATACTAGATGTTCTTTCGCGGGGTCCCGGAAAGTATTCTGCTTCAAGAGTAAATAAAACCAAAAGTAAGAGTAACGTATTTATTTTTTCTTGCTTTTCTCGGTGTGAAATGTAATTTGAAGTTGTTTTAAACGACTCGTCGGACATACCAAGAATTACGTGGACTTTTTAAAACTTACTTTGAAGACATTGAAACATCAATTTCATACACTTCCAGTTATTAAGAACATACTTACTGCTGACATCTCTGTTCGAACTCTTAGATAGTTGCCCTCCTATGTAACCAGAAGCAGTAGTGCTACACCGACCACTTGGTACAGGGACAATAGGGTTAACCGGAGAAAGAGGGAAGAAGTATCGTGACGCCCTCTAAAAAAGTATAATTTAATATCGGAGATAGTAATTGTTATGCCATTACTATTTCAACTTAACCTTCACAATGTTGAATTTTAATTTCAAAAATCAAGCTGCATTTTAACGACTGTTAATCCACTAAAGAAAAAAATGTCAAATATCCCATTTCATGGTAATTAGTACTTGATAAATAGAACATAACATGGTCTCATACTCGCTACTTATGATAGTTTATAAAAAGTGAATAGTAATAAGACCATGTTACTTGTGTTTTATAAAACATTGATCAGCTTACTTCTATGCTGTATTTTGTTTTACGAAGGAACTAAAAGATAAAAATAATGTAGAACACACTTCAAATAGTTAGCAACTATTAAAACAATATTTTTTAATTAAAAAAGGAAACCCTTTAATTCATAAACTTTAAAAGGAATCTCGACTTAACCTAATAACCGAAACTGCACGCACAGATCCCAAGCTGGATCTCGACTTAATAACCGAAACTGCACGCACAGATCCCAAGCTGGATCTCGACTTAATAACCGAAACTGCACGCACAGATCCCAAGCTGGATCTCGACTTAATAACCGAAACGTGCACGCACAGATCCCAAGTTGGATCTCGACCTAATAACCGAAAGTGCACGCACAGATCCCAAGTTGGATCTCGACCTAATAACCGAAAGTGCACGCACAGATCCCAAGTTGGATCTCGACCTAATAACCGAAAGTGCACGCACAGATCCCAAGTTGGATCTCGACCTAATAACCGAAAGTGCACGCACAGATCCCAAGCTGGATCTCGACCTAATAACCGAAAGTGCACGCACAGATCCCAAGC